TTCCACCAAGAGCTAGAGCGGGGAGCCCTTTCCTTTCCTTATGGCCCACTCCGCTGCAGTTAGCGACAGTGAATTAGGAGTGTAAAACTCTCCCCCGTGTAGGTTTTTTGTCACTGGTAGAAGTGGAAGCTAAGGGTGATGTAGGTGTGGGCGAAGCACTATCAGAGCTAAATGCTTGTGGCTATGAAGGATATGCTGTTGCTTTAGAAAGGGAATCTGGCCATGCTGTCATGTGTATGGATATTAACATTTGTGCTGTTGACCATGTGCTGTTTTCCCCCCAGTAGTGGCAGAATTGCAGTGGTGTAAGATCTTCTTGTGTGTGATGTTAGTGGTGAATGCAGCTATGCTGTTGCCTCTCTAGCCACGGGACCTTTCCTCCTTTTAAGAGGAGTTGGTGCTGTCACTTCTATTAGCTTGTGGGGACCTTTTAGGACATGAAGCCTCTGTATCAGAATTGCGTTTCTTATAAAGCTGCCTTTTCTCAGCATCACCCCCAAATGAGAAGCAGTGCTATTGGAGATTAGCTTGAAAGTGGAAAGCCCATACACTGGGGGAAGCTCTTCTGCAAACAGCATTGTTTAAAAAGCCTCTCCCTCTACGGTTACCCTTGCACACCCCGTTGCTCTGTGAACAAGGTTCAGCCCAGAGCTGAGACAGACACGGAGGATGAGACAGGGATTTCTATCTGTGATTGGAAAGGAAGAAGCTGAGAGGGAGGTTGACTTTTGAAATGCAGCCCGGGTATCCTGGCAGCTCTTAAAGGGCCATAAAAGAGGCCGTGGTTTAACACTGGTTGATTGAGCTTCAAAACATTTTATTATTTGGAAAGATGTAAGGAACTCCTCAACATTCCTGCCTGTGTTTGGAGGGGTGGAGGCTGCAGCCTGCTCCAAAGAGGGAATAGGAAGCTCCAGATCTTCATCCAGAGGATATTTTTCCCATGCTCTTTCCTCCCACACAGCAGCGCCCTCCCTTCCCTTCTGGAGCTGCGACAGGCAGGCAATAGTTTCAGCACAGACAGCGCTTGGCTTATTTACCTTTGGCGGGTGCAACTTAAAATGTAAATTGTCTTTTTTTTTTTTCCCTGTTAAAGAACAGAAACTTAAACTGAGCAGCATTATTGTGGGAAGCTTCTGCCACAAGCTCAGTGATTCTCCAGGCCCCTGCTTCTTGTGGAACCACTGCCCAGTTACTGCCAAACTGTGGGGTCAACTCCAGGTGTGTGTGAGGTTTAGTTACAGCACAGACCACAGCTGACACAGAACTGTGGCTTACAAGCAGTAGTACTTAATGTTAGTAAAAGCCACTTCTTACCTACCAGCTATGAATTCTACTTACATGTCCCCTGCAGTGCAAATGATTTTTGTATTTCCCTAGTACCTTCCATCTGAGAACCTCAAAGCACTTATCAGACTAATGAATTAAACGTCACAATCTTCCCACGAGGTAGGCATTAGCTCTGTTTTACAGAGGAAACTGAATGAAGTACTGAGTGGAATAACTCACACAGGCTTGTGCTGTGTCAGTGGCAGGAATAGAACCTATGAGGCCTACCTCTTTCTTCATCTTATGCTTTAACACAAGACCAGCCTTCCTCCCAGATGTGTCCTCAGTGGAGGGCCTGTTCACAGCTAGGAAAGACCCCAGCATGTTGTGAATGAAGCATTTAATTTTCTTAATTCTCGGGAGCTGTTGTAATACCTTCTCTCAAAGGGGAAAGAAAGGGATATTCTTCCTATTCGACTGCTCTCTTATCATGCTCAGATGCTGGTGATTGACTTCCAAAAGAGCAGGCTTAGGGTGATCTATGACACGCTTATTTGGAAAACTCCTGCATGAAAAGGTGGGTTTTGCATTGTTGTATCAAGATGGTGAGATCTGAGCTCAGCCTGCGCTCTGGTGAATGAGAGCTCCATAGTTACAAATCCTCCACAGAGAACACTCCAACCCAGTGCTTTATGAGTTCAAACCTGCTCTCTCACCAGAAGCATCCTTTTCTGAGTGCATCTCACACAGTGGACTATGGAAAGGACTAAGATAGCTGAGCCCCAAATCCACTTAAAGCTAAGGACCAAGACGTCAATATGATCTGAAGTTTGATTAGCAGGTAGTGTAGAGCACAGAGCTCTGTTTTGATGTCCTCTCCTTAAAAGGCAGACAGCCACACTATTGACCAGTCTCAGTTACTGAATGGCCTTTAGCATCAGTCCCAAGTAGAGAGCATTGCAGAAATCCAGTCGGGAGGAGACAGATGCATAATGCACTAGCTTGGGCTGTATAAGAGCGGAATGGCTACAGCTGTCTGGCCATCAGAAGATGAAAGAAAGCATTTCTGGCCACGTCTATTTTGGCATCTAAAATACATAACAATGGTAAGCCTGTTCACCGCTTTGAGCATGGGTGAAGAGATAATCTTAGTAGATGGTGAGGCCATAGTTCCACCAAATGCATCCTCCTACCAGCCAACATCTGTCTCGTTAGGCTTGACCTCGAGTCATCTACTTTTTGTCCTGAGCTTCATTTCACAGGGACTGAATCATTAAGGGCATGGCCTTGTCTGCATTTGTCAAGATGTAGGCAAAGTTGGGGATCAGCTGCACAGTGGTGAGATGGAAGAGAACAGCATCTCAATTCCTCCAGTGGCCACACAGACATGAAATGACAAGACAGAGTCCTGTAAGACTTTCCAGATGTGAGGAATCTCAGGAAGGAGGAGCAGCTGCCCATCACAGCCCTCAGGGATCTAGCAGAAAGAAGTGAACTGAGCCACCCATTAGGTACAGTCTGGGGCTTTTTGCTTGTTCTGGAAGCAGCAATTACTGATAGAATCTCAGTCTAGCTGAACTATGGGTCAGTGGGAGCCTGACAGTTCCAGCTGCTGTCTTTCTGATTTGGGCCTGATGCCCTATAGCTGTTTCATGTTTGGATTGGAGAGATTTACCAGTAGCCTTTCTCCCCATGCATTTTACCTCTATAGCCATTGCAGATTTGGTGTTGCAACCCGTATTTTCTTCTCCAGGCAATTCCTGGAGTCCCTAGCACTGAATCCTAGTTAACACTCCTGCCAGCTCCTCTCTGGTGGCTTGTTCCCAGAATGTCCTGTCAAGTATAAAACAAATAGTGGCTCAGAGCTTCTCACTTCCAGGAGAAACTGCCTTTTCACACTGGCTCCTAACCTTGTCACTTCCAGGAGAAAATGCATTTTCACATTGGCTCCTAACCTTCTCAGCAAAGCCAAAGCACAATTAATACTGAAACTAATCCCCACTCTAAAGGTGGACCCAAGAAAGACTCAGGAAAATTAACCTTTTCCATAAATCACTCAGAGCTTGGAGGCAGCTCTGAAAAGTGTCCCTGCCTTTCACTTTTCTTTTCTTTCCTCTCCCTCAGGATCTACAACAGGGCAAATCTTCCATCTTGGAGCTGGAAAGCTTTTCTCTGTCTTCATGCAGCATTTTGGGAAGAGACTCTAGCTCTTGACCAGTTGGGGATTACTGATCCCAAGGCTGCTAGCAAGTTGGATCCAAGGATTGAGATGAGCAGAGCAAGTTGCTCCAGGGCTTAGTACTCCACTCCAAGTTAGCCTCCTGAGATCAGCTATATAGCTAGCTCAGGTGCCATATAATAATAGCAGAATGCCAGTGCTGCTTTAGATAAGGTTAAGAACTGCTTTCTGTTTAAAGGTTGACTTAACTGGATTGCCTTGAAATCTGACGTGCTTCATGGAGACGAGGGGTAGAGTCAGTTTATCCAAATTTGGGGTCAGTTGTGTAAGAGGTTCTCAAGAAAATAGCCCACTGGAAAAAAAAAAGTTTTTAAAGTTGACATATTCTACCAGCTTTTTTTGGTGCAGCCACAGGATCAAACCTGTAATCATGGCCAAAATGGTGTCAATCACTCATCGTTTACCCTGACGAGTGCAAGGTGCCCACTAAGCCCTTTGCAGGAACACAACTGAAAACAATATTTGAAAGAGAGTTTGCCAAACAGATTACACTTTGAAGACAGACAGCCCAAGACAGTTGCTAGCCCGCCATAGCTCATCAGACCTGTGTGACTCAAGGGGACATCAAACTTGAGCAACACTGAGGCACCGTAAATTCAAATCTGACACTTGCCAGAAATCTGAGAATGAAAAAAAAAAATAGACGTTGCTACGATCTGCCTCTGTCAGAGGTTTTTTTTTTAGTTTGGGGAAATGTAATCTGCATACAGCAGAAAACTCAGAAGACATTCAAATTATTTTTGAAAAGAAAATAAATGACACGGGCGAATGCTTGTGGGCGGATGGGAGGGGAGGCTGCAGAAACAGAAGGGGAAAATGGGAATGAGTGGGAGGGGAGGGAAGAGGGGTTGAGGTGCTCAGGTTAGGGGGCGGAGGTAGGTATTGGGAGGGCTGACATAGAGGTGCGTGATATGGGTTTAAAGCTGCATAGCTGTGTACCTTACCTCTGTATTTCCTGGTTTTCAGAATTTTACATTCTGGAAGGACACAAAATACCAGCATGCAATCTTAACTCTGCATTCATAATTATTTTTTTTTGGTCAGTGGGTACACAGACCAAGCAGGCTACAGAGCCCCCGATTAGAATAGCTGCTGCCTCTTAGCAGATATAGCCAATAATAGAATCTGCTGACTCCTAGGTTCAGACCACATACCAGTACCTCTCATCACACCTTAGCTGTGGGAAAATGCTGAGTGAAACTAGAGGAGAGTGCCTGGAAATAGAAAGGCAGCCTGGGGTGCTAGGGTGAGTGGTGTGGAAGAGTTCAGAGTTCTTTGTCCTTCTGGTATGACAGATCCTTTGATATCCCCAACACCCATAAGGTAGCAGAGTCCCCACTGTGCTAGCTCAGCCTTGTGTACCATTTAATTCACCTCCCTGTTCTAGCCAGGCAGCAACCCATTGGGATCGCACCTTGATCTCAGCACGTCACTGCAGGAAGGGTGTCTCGCATTTGTGCTGACTCTCATCAGCCACATTGTTGTTATGTAGGATCCTGGAGCATCCAGCTGGAGAGGGGAGGCAGCCTGGTGGTTCTGAGGAGCTTGCTGTGGCCAGGACTGACATTCTACCACATCCCCATGACTAAACAATTTGGCTATATCTACCTTGGCACAGGTGAGAAGAACATAGACCTGCCCTTCATGCTGTGAATTGTCCACCCAAGCTGAGGATTCAAGGGAAGGTGTGTCACATTTAGATTTTATACTTGGGGATTTGCAGTTATGTTTGTTCTAATAAACCCGTGTGAAACCTCTACACCTGTCAGCAGTTTTCTGTGCCCCAGAAAGAGTCCTGAGGATTTCCCTAATGCCTCATTGTGTGTATTCTTAAACCTAGGCCCCCCTCTGTGTGCTCAGGCATGGTGTTCCAGATCTTATTCCTAGGCAGCGTGAGTGAAGGGTGATAGAAAATAAGGCTTCTGCTTAATATCAGAAGGAAAAGCTGCTGCATTCTAGGTCTTGCCTACACTCAGGGCTCCACACTCCACCTTGTGCTCGGTGTGGGTAGTGGGGAGAGAAGGGGGTCTGTTTTGCAAAAAGTAGAGGTCCCGCCTGCTCACTGCTGGCAGAAGTGAAAGACCCAACTCTACAAGAGTCAGTCTGCTGTGCTGGAAAATACTGTGCTCTCAGGTTCGAACATTCAGGGTGCCACATGGCGTACCACTGCTCTTGTCTCACCCAGTCACTGTTCTCTCACCGTCACATTGATAGCTGATTTGGGTTACCTGCCATAGAAAAGATGCCATGGAAGTGTGTTTGTTCTAGACGCAATGTGAGTAGTGATTGTTCAAAGAGAGTGGAAAGGGACAGAATAGGCCGATAGAGCTCCTGGCTTCCTAAGGATTCAACACACTTCGAGTCAACATTTACATTTTCCCTAAAGTCAAGGATCCAGGCATCTTGCACTCCACCTTGCCTGAATCTAGAGCTTCCTTTTCACAGACTCAAGGCCAAAAGGATCAGTATGGTCATTTAGCCTGACCTGCTACACAACACAGGCCATCGAATCTCCCCCGCTTCTCTTGGCCATGCTGGTAGATGGGAACAGACAGTCCTGCCTAAGCTAACACAGGACTCACCAGCACAACAGAAGATAATAAAAAAGGGCTACACAGCCTGTGGCCTCAGAGGTATAGCAGCAATGAACACCAGTAAATTTAATCTCTCTTTTGCATCAGGCCCATACCTAGCATTTTGGAAGTATGACTGCTCACTAAGGTGAAAACCAGCTGTGTTGTATGAACTGTACAGGAACAGAGCTACAGGACAGACAATGATGTACAACCACATACAGTTCTATGCAGCAGATGCAACCTTGACAAGTTTGACAACTCTCAGCAAACAGAAAACAGACCAAGTCATTAAGGGTGTCAATGTGTTTTGTATTTGTCAGGCACAGGAGTTACAGGGACCCAGTAAGTAATCCTAACAAGCACATAGTGAGACACAATGATCATGCCAAATGCCTGCCTGCCACTGTCATGTGTTTTCTGCCTCAAACTAAGGTCATTACAGACTTCAAAAATATTCCACTTCAGCACTGATTAACACAATTTCCCTCACTCCTGATGAGGTAGAAGGGAGCAGAGAGCTTTTCTTCAGAGTCAAAGGTTCTAGGGCTTGGGCCATTGACAGATCAGATCTGAGAGGTATTCTCCTTCTAAAGCTTCCTGCTGCAAAAACCCTCTTGGGTCGTCATGAAGCAATGATCCGATCCTTTCCTGCTTTTAAATGACAGTCAAATGTCAGCCCTTGTTCTACCTGCACAGGAAGGCAATGATGTCGAATCCTGCATGTCCCCAGAGGAGCAGATGGTTGCTTGCTCACTGGAGACAATGCAGAATGCTAAAAGGAGAGATGCTTGGAATCAGAGTGTTGCTGGAGCTGAGAAACCCAGAACAAGGGCAGAGTAGCCTGAAGAGCTGTGATCCACTGGCTATGCAAGTTCCTCTGTGCCTCAGTGATTTAAATAAACAGGCCTCTGCCTATAGTTGATGTTATTCATCAGCAAGGGGTGTCCAACACGAAAGGGGACTCGGCACCACTTAGGGCCTCTCTTCCAGATGGGCTTAGCAGATCTGACTGACCAGCGGGTAAGATACCTGTAAAAACAGAAGCAGAAAAGCACCTCAAATTTGAGACTGATAACTGAGAAAAGGCTTTGGCCACTGCCTCCTTTTTAATACAGAGGCAAGGACTATGAACACCAGAGAGCCCAGTAAGCAAAGCTCCCTATTGGATCAAGAAGGATCACTGAAAGGGAGCACTGCATCCTGGGACTCGTAGGCTGTACCTCTGTATGGAAGACAATGGCAACTGCTATGAGCTCCATTCTGTGTAAATTAGGTGCAGGCTCCTGGCAAGTTGTCCATCTGATCCTGTTTGGCTAAGTTTGAGCATCCAGTTCCTTTACTGTATCAAAAACCAACTCTAAATTCATCCCCCCTGTTCCATCTCGTTGGGAAGACACAAACTCCACAGCCAGCCTGAATAAGGGAGGCCCAACTCAGTTGAAAGTCTCCAAAGGTGTCCGTCTATTTTCATTAGGTAGGCAGCTATTTCTCCTGGGATTCTGGCCAATTAATTTATACACATATAGACACACACACACACACACACTTGTGTTGTGATGTGCTTGTATAACTGTGTTCCAACTTGCTGGTGCAGGAAACCAGAACTTGCAATGCAAAAAGTGTTGGGAGTGGAATTACAACTGCAAATATATCACAAGAGCAACTCCTAGCGATTTAATGGACTAAACTGGATTTTTACAATTTGAACTTTACATCTTGTATGCAAGATGGAATTTCATGCCCAGTGTCAGCTAGCAGGGATCTAATTCCATGTCTGGGAGGTCTGGAGTTTTGTTGCCTTTCAAATCTTTCGCTACTGGTAGGGAGGGAATAAAAGTCCTTGAAGAAATAAGTTTTGTCAGGCAAGATTTGAAGCAAAACTCTGATGTAAACCATTCTTGGACAAATTAAAATTTGGAACAGACTGGTAAGCTTTTTGCCCTACAATGTTGTTTGCCCCTCTCTGCTGAGTAATCATGTGATCTTAGTGTGACCCCAATCTGTTTCTCTTCCCCCCCCCAAAAAAGATTTTGTTGCCTCTTATTTGCATCATGTGTGAATTTATATGTTAAGTGCTTTGGGCAGAGGCCGTGTGCAATTTATATGTATAGCAAGGCATTTACTACATGCTTGGGAACTGTAAAATAAATCTCACAGTGCTGGGTGGTCATGGACTATATGAAAACAGCACACATTTTGCCAGCACTTTTCTTCCTCAAGGATCCCAAAGAACTTTACAAACAAATTGTGTCTAAAGATCTCTGCTACTGAAACAAAGTTGCCTCTCAGCTGCTTTACAGGCAAATAAAGAGATTGAGGCTTTCTGTCGAGGAGCTTACAACTAGAGCAGACATGAGCATGTACAGAGAAGACAACAAGAAGGGGGTGAGAATGGAAGGGAGAGTTGCACATCATAGAATCAACTCACTTGTTCTCATTTGCATATACTGGATTAGTCCCTTTCTATGGTTAATCTTATACTGGTGCATTAGTGGAGCCTTTAGGACAGGAAGTGAAGGAGACTCCCATATTAAATTGAAAATGCAGGCAGGATTTAGAGCGACCAAAAGCAATTACCAATTTGGAATTTGGCCAGAAACTGGGGTTAATGCTATTTCTTTTGGGAGAAGTTCTACGGGATCTTTAATGAGCACAAAGGGACAGGTCCTTATTTTTACATTTCATCTGAACTGCAGCCATCCACCTACAGTGAGCTCTGATGGAGTGGAACTTAAGTTACAGGGAAAGAGGAGGAAAATCCAAAATTGTTTCAATGCATCACAATGTGCCAAGTGCAGTTTTGATCACGTGACCATCCACTTACGGGAAAGAGCTCCCGTGATAACAAATGATCTCACTAGAAGAGGGAAGCATAGTTAATGTTGGAGATATACATCAATGCTGTGTGCACGTTTAGACAGCCGGTGGCTTTAAGAAATCCCTCTGTTTCCATGTGGGCGCTGGAAGCGCACATCCCAAATCGGCATAGGAAAAAGGATTTAGTAATGGCCTGATTTTAGAGCTTTTGTTATTTCTCCTTTGAGCAGGTCTAATCCAGCCCTCTGCTCCAGCCCTTTGGCTTCCTTTGGGGACAGCAGGCTGGGGCTTTTCATTGTTAGCTGAAACAGACATTTGGACGCTCTCCCTTCCTGGAGCACAGTTTGCTTTTACTGTTTCTAATGCTTGCTTTGTCCAATACTCGCTTTGTCCAATACTCAATTTTGACCTATTTTGCTTGCTGCCTTTTACTTTCATGATCCCACAATGGGAAAAAGCAAGCATCACCCTGAGGCCCGTGAGCAGCCACTTCGCCGCAAAGCACCTTTCCTACTCTCTGCCTAACCCCTTGTTCCCACTCTTTGATGCTATAATGCACTCATTTTCTATCAGGAAGGAACACAGAGGGGAAAGGCCATGGAACCTGTCCAGCACCTGGAGTTTTCAGGCTAATTCTGAGCAGAGTGCTTGGTTTGATAATTTGTGCATCCCATTCCACTCAAGTTTCCTTATTTCCCATTACCATTGTATCCAAGCACTAGGGTCCATTGTAGAGGGGTCTTTGCTTTCTCCTACACGTCACATGGTCGCATTTTCTTAACCACGTCAGTGCTGCCAGAGCAGAGCTTAGAGCCTGACGTGACTTGGAGTGTGGATGGACAAAGCATTCTGCATTCTCAGAGTAGTCACAAACTTTTAGCCACACGGGTGCCAAAGGGGGCCACGGCTACCAGTCCTGGGGAAAGAGGTTTGGGAGAGATGTGTGCGGGTAGCCCCACGTCACAATCACCACTATGTAACACTGTGTGATGGGAGCGGGCAGCATGCAAAGCTATTTTCAACCCTGCTGGGTGTCTGGCAAGAATGAGAAGTACGAAAACAGCTGCAGTAGGTAACCTGTGGTCTTTGGAGCACCTTGGGTCATCCCAAATTGCGATGGTGCATGGAAGTCGGGTTCCAGGGTTTGCTCTGTGAGAGGGATGAGCCTAAAGTTCTGTTATCCAGACACTGCTGCTTGACACTAAGGAGTGGGCTAGGGTGAGGGAAATGACTTGCATATGGGGCAGCTGTGGCCCTGCCTGCAGCTCAAGCAGGAGCCATCCCGGTGCAGCTCCAGGCTGAACTTCTGAACCCTGACTGAACTTTTTCAATCTGGCTCTTGTTTGGATTAAGAGCAGAAGGCTTGAGCCTGTGCAGGAAACACTCTATCAAAGTGCTGGCTGGGCTGCCTCCTCCTTGCCTCGTCTCCTCCCCAGGATGCCTCTTAGCTTCCACTCACCTGAGGCTGCTCTGGTTCTTTGTTGTTGAACTCACAGTCTACACAGAACATAGGGAACAAGGCTACAGGCTTTCAATGCAGGGGAGAAGCCACATGCCACATAAGTTAAGTGCTGATAACAATAAGAAGCTGGAGTCAGCTCCCAGAGAGTGGAAAGGGGTGTCTGCAAGAGAGACACTAATCCCAGCGAACACTTCCTTCTAGGAGCTTAGCAGCCAGTTGCTACTAAGTAATCTCCTTCTTACCTAACACAGGGCAACTTTTCCTTTCTCCAAGAGACAAAGAAGGACTAAGACCAGGGAAGAAGAAGATGGGAGCTATCTGCACCCAATACTCTGACTCCAAGCCTTATAATGCCTCCTTCTGGCAGGAAGGTGGAAATGGAGTAGTTGTGAGCTCTCCAAATCCAGCGCTTCTACCCCATAATCCACAGCACCTCCCACTGGCAGAGAGCAGGCCCTGAGAAGCTACGACCTACAGTCACAACTGTAACCCCCATACTAGTTTACGGAAGGGATGATTTCATGGAGTTTTGCTTTAACCAATATTTAGGTCTCCGACCAAATGAGCAGCCAGTGCAGATTCGATATAAAAGTGACTCCAGACTCTGCCTGTGGGACGGCCATTGAGCTCAGAACAGTGATCTCCCACACTTGGCCTCTAACAACTTATATACTGGAAAGGAAGCTGCCAAATTAGTGAGATTTCTAATCTTGAAAGCAAGGAGGGAGGTTTGATCTGCAGCTGCTCATGACATCTTCCCAGACTGTTCTGGTGTGTGTGGCCTGCACACATATGGCTCTGGAATTTCTGAATGCAGACTGCAGTTGCACATGGTACTGGAAAAGCCTAACAAAATCCCACTCTCTTGAGCTGGCCATTGACAAATGTTGTTGCGGCACGTAACTGCTTAGCACATGCCAGGTGAATAACAGAGGGTATAACAGAGGCATAACTAGGTATAATGTGATGAAATTAAGAAAAGAAAAATGCAGGCTGAAGATCAGGGAACAATCCCTGACAGCGAGGGATCATCTCCTTAGCCTGTGGAATCATCTCAAGGCGGCGACAGAAGCCCTACACTGGGCAAAGCACTAGAAAGTGCCCTGTAGGGAACAATTCTGCATTGCCAGGAGATGGAGTCGAAGGCTTTTCTACCTCCAGTTTCTACAAACATGATACTATGGGCAGAGGCATCACTCCAATGTGTGATGAGGCGGGGCAAAGGGCACAACAGCTAACACACCCTGTTACACTCTGGCCACCAAAGGTGGATACCTGACAACAGTATTGCTACAATGGGCCCTCAGCTGGTAAAGCAGCTAACGGCTGGTATTAACAAGCTACGACTGTCAAGAAGCTACCAAACAGGAAGCAAAGAGGATATGAGAAATACAGCGAGAAGTCTCTCACCTGGGCAGTATCCTGACAACAGGGAGGAGATCACGCCCACAGAGTGCTGCTTAGACCCGGATCTCCTCTCTCTGGCTCAGCTGCTAACCACAAGCTATCACAGCCTGAGTAGGTATCTCACACTCTTGCACTAGACCTGCTTCTACTACTTATCAAATGCCTCCTTAGTGTTAAAGCACAGAGGGCTCTCCCAATCCTGAATGCAGACTCCTTCTTATGCAGGGTAGCGTGTGTAGCTGAAAACAAACTAGGGTGTGCGGGTCACCATTTCCCAATGATCCAATCCTCAGTGCTTGCCCTGTCACACACAAAATGTGGGCAGCAAGAATGGGAACAGTTAGTGCCATCACCAGCACATTACTGGGAGCACCTTGAGTGGGCAAAGGGGATGCTGCAAGTGACCTGATGGAAAGAAGAGCTCAGATCAGGGAGGGACTCTTATCACACTTCAGGGAAGGGACCGGTGAGGAGAGGTTCACACATCAGGTAACATAATGGGACCACTTCACAGTCAAGAGGAAACAGGGTTTTTGTTTCTCTGAAGAACAATAGATGTGAGAGACATGGCACCATGTACTTGCAGGGAGCATACTTGTGAAACATTTTATGGAGGGACAAAGGGGACAGGGCAGGCTGGGTGCTAAACACACAAGTTATACTCACTCAGCCAAGAGGCCAGCAGCTGGGCAGCAACTCCCGTTACCCTACAACAGAGGTCATCTTGCTTGACTGAATTCCTTACACTGGCACTCGGCAAGCACCATCAGAGTGATCACCCAGATGAGATCAGAAGGCGGACCCTGTGCTATGAAACAGGGTCACTTCAACTGACAGGGCAAGTGGAATTTGGGCACAGCATGTTGGGAGACATAACATCCTTTTTGAGATGACCTTAAGTGTAGCAGAGGAAAAGTTCAGGGGCTTCTGCTGTGCAGTCCCCAAAGTTAGTCTGTGAGAAGCCAGAGTCTGACAACTGCCCAATAAGCTGTCTTTTGCTCGTTGCCTCAGGAACCTTTCAGCCCGTCCCAAGAGCTGGTCTTCGACTCCATCTCAGCAACTAAGGAAGGAAGGAGCTGTAGATGCCTTGAGAACAAAGACTATCTGTTGGGACCATTTGTGCAGCTGGCTTTTCATGGGAAAGTCCTTTGATGAACAGCCCTTTGAGAGGCTCTATGGAGCCACTTGGCCAGGGCCTCAACGTAGTAGCTCACTTCAGGAGAGGGAGGGAGAAACAAGGGGGTCTTGCATTGGTCTGGTCTGCAGAGACTCCCTCCAGCTGATGCTGCTCTGAGCAGCACTGATGGAACTCTGGAAGGAGCCATGCGTTAAACCTCCTCTGCTTCCCTCGAATGAAGCCATTTGCCTGATTCCTGCCAGTCGCACACTGAAGCTCAAGTTCAACTCTTGGAAACAGGATTTAGAGATTCAGTCCAACCTTTAGCAAAGATGCTGGGCTGTGACTCCTACTTGGGGAGCAGAAAGGTCCATGGGGATGGAATGAAATCACTGTTATGCTGATCAGCAAGGTTGCCTGGTTTTTGACTTAATGACCTGCCAGGGGTAGGTCTACTACGAATAGCGAATCTCTTCTGACCCTAGGGAGGGTGGATGGGAATCTAACACCAACCTTCTCATCTCAGGCAGCAGTCCTGAGCCTGTCACTCCAGTAGCCAATGAGAGCACTTATTCAGTCTAAGCCTCAAGATGACCCACACTGGCTGTTTGAGAAGTAGTTCAAAGCACCAAACACCTTCACATCCAGCTCAAGGTAACATTTCCCCGCCTCACACATGAGCCCAGGTCATCCTTCCTGACACCCTCTTATGGAGCTCTCTGGTGGCCATGTCCAGAGCTAGACAATCTCTTCCCAGCTCTCTCAAAAAGAGACAGTGGGACAGGGGTGGCCAACCTGAGCCTGAGAAGGAGGCAGAATTGACCAATGTACATTGACAAAGAGCCACAGTAATACGTCAGCAGCCCCGCATCAGCTCCCTCCTCCCTCCCCATACCTCCCGATCAGCTGTTTTGTGGCGTGCAGGAGGCTCTGGGGGGGGAGAGGGAGGAGTGAGGGCACAGCAGGCTCAGGGGAGGGGGCGGGAAGGGTTGGAGTGAGAGAAGGGCCAGTGGCAGAGCCAGGGGTTGAGCACTAAGAACCCCCCCAGCACATTGGAAAGTTGGCGCCTGTAGCTCCAGCTCCGGAGTCGGTGCCTATACAAGGAGCCGCATATTAACTTCCAGAGCCACAGGTTGGCCACCCCTGCAGTGGGACATTTCTACAGCTAGAGCAAAGAGCCAGACAGGACAAGAGGTGGCTGAATGGGCTGCTTATCTTTCCGCACAGGGGAGCGAGGAAAGGAATTTCAGGAGCAGAGGGGGGTGAGCACATATAACTGCAGATAAGATACTAACAGAGACACACTGTCCCTCAGCTTGGGGCAAACCTCTAACCCAGGGATTGGCAACCTCTGGCACGTGGCCCGTCAGGGAAATCGGCTGGCGGGCCGGGACGGTTTGTTTACCTGCAGCATCTGCGGTTCGGCCGATCGCAGCTACCACTGGCCGCGGTTCACCGTTCCAGGCCAATGGGGGCTGTGGAAGCAGCAGCTAGCACATCCCTCGGCCTGCGCCGTTTCCCGCAGCTCCCATTGGCCTGGAATGGCGAACTGCGGCCAGTGGGAGCTGCGATCGGCCGAACCTGCGGACGCTGCAGGTAAATAAACCGTCCCGGACTGCCAGCGGATTTCCCTGATGGGCCGCGTGCCAAAGGTTGCCGATCCCTGCTCTAACCACCACATGGAGAGGAGACTTTACTCCTCACAGAACCACAAAGCTCTGCATCCCTAGCATCCTATCTCCTGTTCAGGAGATCCAGAGAAGGAACTACATTGTGAAAAGAAGAGGCCAATGCAAGTTCCTGAGACAGAGATGTGTGATTCAGGGGCAAGGTGATGAGGGGAAACGACCTGCAATAGGGCAACCATGCGGTGGGAAGGGGATGAGAATTAGGGAGAGCTTGACATTGCTAGGCATGTGAGCAAGCTGCTCTTCTCCCAAAGTCTGCAGCCCCGGTACCAGAAGTTAGGCGCCGCATCACTCCTCACCTCCCTTCCTCTTGACTTTACTTCCTCATGTCTTCCAGGTCCCACCCGCCTGTCATCTTCCTTCAGCTAAAGACCAGAAAGACACTCTACAGAGCCCATCAAGTGATGCCCCTTTAGCCAGACAGAGGTCACTGCAGAATAATCCTGGCTGTCCCATGTAGTGCTAAGAGGCCAGCCAGGCCCAGCTAGGCCCAGCTGATAGCATTTCAATAGCAGAGTCAATATGCTGCAGCAGCGACAGGCAGGGAGAATGTTGTTTTTAACACCGTTCACACACTAGTGGGGGAGGGGGTGTGTGAGAGGAGAGGGAGAGAGGCACAGCCAGCACTACAGGAAGAGCTGGTTGAGTTTAGTGGCTACCTAGGCTGGTTTTAAGATCCCTGGAACTCATTCACTTGTTTCCCTCGCCTTGGAAAAAGAACTGCAGGGCTTTAATAAATGGACAGAAAAGTTGTTTGGTGTCACTGCAGCTCCTGTCGGGGTCTCTGTAGAAACTTTTTGCAAGGACACCCCTCAGCGAATTCCCACGGATGTCAACAAGGCTATAGCAGCAATGCCAAAGGGAACTACAGGATCTCATTCAAGTAGAGAGGCACCTGGAAAGGCCAGGAGGCTGTGCTAGTAAGGACCAGAGCACTCAACACAGCAGTCCCCTCAGGGGAAGATGGGAGTGGGGGCTACTGCTCTTGGGGAACTGGTAAATACACCATTGAACTGTGTGAGACAGTGTCTGCTGGGAGAGGCCAGACCCTTCTGCTCTGCCTCTCACTGCAGAGACCCCCTCCACCCAGTCTCAGGCCCCTCTCAAAGCACAACTGACCCCTCCCCAGCTGGCACTTTGAAATCCAATAGGATCAAAGGCAGCAAAGTGACAAGTCAGATGACCTGAGGGGTCCTAATGTTACACCTCAAAGGCTTTGTGGGGAAACTGGTAAAGGCTCCCTCACTGCACTGAATGGAGGTGGCTGAGTTTGCTCAAAGGTCCCAGCCACTTAACTCTCTATGGACAGGATCTTAGGTCCCCCATCGCCACAGGAGCTGAGCACCACCCACATACTTGTGGTATTTGAGGAACTTCACAGACGGGGGGAAATCAAGGCAGAGAAATTAAATGAGTTGTCCAAAGTCAGGCAGGGAGCCCATGGTTGAGCCTGGAACTGAACCCAGGTCTCCCACATTCCAAGCCAGTGTCTTAACCACAAGCCCATCTTTTGACACCGCTGTGTACCATGAAGGGAAGGGAAAGGAAGGTGGCCATTTGGGCAGGAGGAAGGAAGCGGTTAAAGTCTTTTGCCCTGTGCAGCGCTGGCTGCTGTTCCAGAGAGTGATGTGGGAGGCACAGGTGGGGGTAGGCATGTGGCCAAAGCTCTCACAGAGCTGCAGCAGTCGAGACATGGCAAGGCTCCAAAAATGCACAGCTTTTTACCTCCAGCAGTTAAAGGAGACAATATCTAAGCAGCATTCCTGAAATGCCCTCATTGCAGTCCCCCAGCTCCTAGCCTGCCTCCCTCAGCTTCATCCTCATCTTCTCCAATCCCCAGCCTGATCTCTCAACCCCAATCCTGCCTCCTTCACAAACTGCCAGCTCCCTCTCAACTCCCAGTCTGCTGTGACCCAGCTCTGTCCCCTGCCTGCCCCAGCTCTCCCTGACTTCCCTTCCCTAACTCAATCCCAGCCCCAGCTCTGATACCTTTCTCTTCGCACTGCAAAGCGAGGCGACAGTGATCAGGTCGGGAGCACTCAGATACCAAGTCCCAAGCTTGGTTCTCAGGGGTGCTGTGCTGCCAGATGTATACGGAGGGACCCATCTGAAGAGCCCACAGCATAACTAGAAGAAGTCAGGGTGCTAGCCCTGGAGCCTTGGTCCCTGCAGTGGGATCTGGGATTCTCCATTTTCTGTCCTAACCAGCTGGGCAGAGTTGCTGTGTGTGATAAACAATCGCTGCACTTCACCCCAGATGTGCTGGATATGCAAAATTAATAAATAATCCCAAAGGGGTTTAAGATATGGAAATGTGAGGTATTTCAGAGCCCAATATCTGAGGAGCCTGGGGCCATATCCTATACAGTCTACCACTGTGGAGACCCTGACTGTCTGCACACAATCTGATCCCTGCTGACAGCACAGCGTGGGTATGTCTACACTGCAATTAGACACCCGCAGCTGGCCCGTGCCAGCTGACTCAGGCTCGTGGGGCTTGGGCTGCGAGGCTGTTTAATTGCGGTGTAGACATATGGGCTTGGGCTGCAGCCCGAGCTCTGGGACCCTCCCACCTTGCAGGGTCTTAGCGCCCGGGCTCCAGCCCAAGCCTGAATGTCTACACCGCAATGAAACAGCCCCTTAGCCCAAGTCAGCTGTCATGAGCCAGCTGGGGTTTTTTAACTGCAGTATAGACACACCCCTAGTGGCCTGGCAAACCCCAAAGAGCTGCCCACCAAGTCTCAGCTAGAAAGCCAGGCCCAAATCCCAGGAGTCTCAAGCCACTCTGAGATTTGGAGTCTAAACTCTCCCAACAACAGGCCCATGGCCTCTGGTAACCCCACAACTCTCTAATGAAAGTTCATAAACCGCTTTGACATCTCCATGGAAACAGAGTGTGAGGTCATAAACAGGGGATTAGCACCTCCCAACAGTGAGTGAGGCACAGTGGGTTTTCAGTTCTCTCATCAAAGGACAGGGGGCTGGGCAGCAGGGGGGGAGGTTGCGGTGGGGGGGGGAAGGAGGAGGGGAAGAGAGCTTGTTACACAGGAAGGGCAAGCTGAGGGTGAATGACAAACTACAGGCAAAAGGGGAAAACAGGGAAAGGGCAAAGAGTGCAGCATGCCTGTAACAAGCTCCTTCTGCCTGCCATCCGCCACCCACTGCTATTGGCCACCATGGGCTTCTCTGCATCCTATCTAGCTGAGGGATTTGTACCAGCAGTCCTCACTGCAGTATCCTCCCTGGACTATTGCCAATTATGGGGAAGCCGGGGGGTTTGAGGGAAGGAGAACGTATCTAATGTGTACAGCAGTTTCTTAACTCTGTGTGGATGGTTTGGATCAGGTATGGTTAGTTGTGGAGCGCCTTGAAGTACTGGCAGGCCAGAGCATAGTGAGGGAGCCTCACTCATTATAGGTCCTGAATCCAGGCTGACTTCACTGCCTTAGGCTTGTTTGAGGCAGAAATGCCCTCCCACCTCCAGTCCCCTTAAAGGCAAGAGAAAACTATTCACCTGTTGAGCTTGGGTTTCTTGGAAACATGCCCTTCAGAATGCATCGGCCTGTGGTTTGGCAGCAAACCTGACATGGGAAAGGAAAGATGTGAGATTTTGCACTGTTCCCTTGCTAATAGCTACAGTTATACCACTCTGAGATCCCATTACAACTCATAAGCTAAGCAGACTGGTCAGTATTTGGATAGGAGATCGCTAGAGCGAGCCCAAGGGGCTATAATGGAAGGGGCATTCTTCCCGCTGAGTCAGTATTGAACCAATACCCTAATGCAGGCAGGGGCGCAGTGCTGCTGGAGGTGCTGTATTTGAGATGAAACATAAAACAGAAGAGTTGACTACTTGTGGTCACTAAATATCCCATGGTGCTGTTTATCAGAGTGAGGGCACCGACATCTAGCCAAATTCCAGCTCAAGGATTACAATCTGCCTCTTTGAATTCTCGCTGCATTTTAATTTGGATGTAGCATGGGAGAGCAGGCATAATGGCTAGAGCAAGGAAACACTCAGGGGACTTGGGATCCATTCCTGACTGACACCTTGCTGTGTGACCTTGGGCAAGTCACATCCCCATCTTCATAAATTAATTTGAAATCCTCAGATGAGTGGGACTATATGCCAAACATTATTCACTTCCTATCCTGAACCCTTGTGGCGTGCTGCTATGCATAAATTGTTGCTTTGTTCCATCTCAGAGATCACTGAGACATGAAAGAACAGTTACTTACTGGATCCCACTGATTACATGTTCAGTTCCCTTGGCATTCAAAGCCCACACAGTAGCTGAGGACTCCTAAGAGCAGGCTTGGAGGGGCAGTTGTGGGACCCACGCTGGCTACATCATCTCAAAGAACCGCCATTATTACTGTAGGGTAAATAACCACTCTCTTTTCAAGAACGTGTCAATGTGGAGCCCACTGCAGGCAAGAAGTATCTCCTATGGATGGTCGGAATAAAATATATATACGTATAGAATTTCATCAGTAGATTTCACAGTGCTTTACAAAAGGGCTTTTCCCCGTTTACAGAAGGGGGAACTGAAGCACAGAAAGGTGACACAACTTGCCCAAGGTCACCCAGCATGCCAGTGGGAACAGAACCCAGGCTTCCTGAATCCTACTTTGTTACTGTATCCACTAGGCAACACTGCCTCCATGGAATTCCACCTGCAACGATTGGAGTGCTGCTCTCCTGAACGTGGCATCTGACCTAGCAGCTAAATCCAAGGCACAGCGCTTGACAAAGGTCAGTGGGTTATTCTACATGAGATCTCTGACATTGGCACATGTCTGAAGCAGGCAAAACAAGTCATGTAAGCTCTGGTGGAGTAAGCCTTGATATTCAGTGGGAAAGGTACAGCAGCCAGTGATGGAGGCAAGCGTTACCATCCTGAATCTGAGACAGCATATGTATTTGTTCAGTCTCTTCAGGTCTAGGACAAAGATCAGCCATCCTTTCCCTCTTTGGGATAAAGATGCACTGCAAGTAGAAGCCTCTACCCCTGTACTCCTGTGGAACTTCTTCTATGGCTCCTAGACAAAGCAACAAGGCCACTTCTTTCTGTAATAGGCTCTCGTGAGATGGGTCCCTGAAGAGGGATGGGAAAGTGAGTGGGATAATCATGGACATGGTTCCCAACACCCATTTGTCCAAGGTGATATCAGACCAAAACCAACCAAGTGGGGCAAGCTGGGTCCTGAAGCTGGGTCCTGAAGGTAGTTGCCAGCACCTGATCGATTCTGATGTGGCCCATGACATTCCCATCAAATTTGCTATCGGACTGATGAGGAGGAGTAGGTGATGGAGGAGGCAGATGAAGGGCACCTCCACTGGTACTGTGAACTTTTCTATTGTTGGAAGTCCAGTTGTCTGCTCTGAGAGTAAAGGTGAGCCCACTGCCTTTGTTGGGCTGATATTTGTAGGAATTCCTACCAGTGAATGGTGTGTAAATCCTCTGGGATCTTAGGGTGATCTGATTCCTTTAGGGAGGTAGCGCCTAGTCCTCGAACTGAAGAGCTCCATTTCCTTGAATGGGAGATCTTGAATGGTATCCTACACCTCTCTTGGTACCCTCCAGGATAATAGCCATGAGGTTAGTCTCCTGATCACAAATGTAGCCATCAACCTTGTGGCTATGTCCAAGGCCTGTGTGGCTGCCACCTGCAGAGCTCTCCTGGCAATCGTCTGGCCTTCCTGATTAATTTCCTTCAGCTCCTTCTTAGTGTCTTGAAGCAATTTAGGCAAAAATGGATCACCCTCTTCCAAGTCAGGAAATTGTATTTGGCAAATTATGCCTGGTAATTTGCCATATGTAGTTGCAGTGAAGCCAACAGGCTTTTTGCCTGACTAGAGCCAATGTTTTGGGCTCTTTGTCATCAGGAGTTCCTTTCACTGACTTGGATTTTTCTTATACTGCCGTGACTACTAATGACTCATAGTTTAGGTGGAAGGAAGAAGGCTCAAAATTCTTTAGGGCCACTGGGTAGTGTTTCATCACCCTTTTGGAGGTTGGTTGAATGATGGCCAGAATTTACCAAAGGGCTTTGGGCACTTGGTAGTAAGGAGTCCCAAAACAATACGAGCCCACTGGCAGCTTAGTATCTCTGGTGGCTGTGGTGGTGGGGAGGGAGGAAGGTATGTTCCCTCCCCAAAGTGGTTATTACTAAATAAAGGGGTCTGGGGCTTGTTCCCAGACAGGACTCGTTACCTGCTCGGTGAGCCATTTGTACACACACTGCAACCTTCTTATGCTCCTCCAGACAAAGACCTGTGATCCTACGGGGCAGCATCCCTCCATCAGAACGGATGAACTGACTCAGCAATAAGACATCCTAGGGAAGCAAGGAAAGAAGGTAGAATGATCAGTGCCAGAGCTGCACCAATGGCTACAATTCTTAGGTCCTGACACTGCCCCAGTGCTATGTATGAGTAGTTCAAAATTATTCCTTCTAGTGCATATTACCTGGGATTTTGTCAGCAACGAATTTCACCTGCCATTGTGTAGCCTACTGGCTTAGCTTTGTTAGGTCCTCTGAAGTTCAGAGCCTTTTATAGATTAATTCATGTAAATCAATGTGTCATCATCCATTTTTGCCATCTTACCATTTGCTGCCATTTTCAGACTATGTACCGAATATAATCTGTCGAACATCCAGATATACAAAGATACAGTTTTACAAAACATGCAGGAAGATATCATTTTACACAATGACAGTGGGCTGTAGTCCACGAAAGCTTATACTCTAATAAATTTGTTAGTCTCTAAGGTGCCACAAGTACTCCTGTTCTTCATTTTACACAATGTTTTTGATTGAGTGGAGAGCTGATTTTTAGCTCATCAGGGGCCGTGTACACAGATGTCAGCGCTCACACGTTAGGCCACATCTGGGTCTTCCCCTGTAAACTGAGCGCAGGATTTTCCTCTACTGTCTATTCCTCAATTCTTTATCCAATTTCCCAAGGTGGAGCTTCTGTCATGTCCCTTTCGGGGGGAGCAAAGGGGGATTAGTTCAAAATCTAGTAAATCTTGTCAGGAGTAAGTGCTTCATAAGAGAACTGTACTGTAACTGGGGAAGCCCTAACAGAACAAACTTTCAACCCTTTGGCTGCGTGCACATTAAGAGGGACTGTTAGAGCAGTGACAAGGAAGGGAAGCCTTGTTACCAGAGAGCAGGTTGTGTGTTCAGCCAGGGTTCAGAGATCTTTGCAGACTTCACTGCTGTTGACCTTTCAGATTAAAAGCTACAGAAGTGCAAAGCATTATTTATAAAACACAATTTAAGTGGTGTATCTCCAGGATCTGGTAACACCACATAACAGGGATGACGGAACTTTAGACACAGCAGCGGCAGCTGCTGCACTGGGGTCCATTAGCTGTGCAAAGGGCACAGCCCAGCATTCAGAGATATGTTTTCCATTTCCACACGCAGCACAACAAATGCCAGCACACCGCTCAGACCAATGCAGACACACCCCTTTCACATGCTGATATCATGTGTTATCCCATGGGTCCACTGGAAATGCTGGGCTTGTTTTTCCCAATCTGCTGGAAGTTTCCCACTGCCAGACTCACCAAGTTAGTTGGGAGTTTATTGCTCTGTTGCCGCTGTAAACATTTCCATATTTTGGGTGGAAGGAGCATGCGCATGCGGCTCGCAGCCTGGGAGAGACCTGTCAGCAGGCATTCCCCATGCCCAGCCTGAGAGAAATCAGGGCCAGATGGAAGAGCACAATACACACCCCCCATACCTGCCGGTGCAGGCAAACTAGACCTCTGCTATGGGCTGAGCCAATGCAAAAGCCAGGATATCTAGCTATCAAGGTTTATATACTGCCCCCATCATTACGGTATTGGATAGACTTGATTCTGAACTAAACGGACTGTAGCACTGGTTCTGGGAGCTATTGCTCATGCTAGACCCTCTCACAAGCCCTGCTGACCTCAACAGAAACTGAGTCTAGAGCTTTATTCAGTCACACGTTCTCTACTACATAAGGGCACTTGTGCCAGAGTATCCAAGGTGCCTGCCACTGACTCCTCCTCATCTACAGTTCCTGTTCTCTGGCTCCATTCTAACCCTTTTAAAATTAAATATTTAGGCAACTTAATGCTGATATAAGGGACCTGACCAATAACTCTGTGGAGTGATGATTTATCCAGACAACAGGGACAACATCCCTATCAGTGAGCCTTGGTGCTAACCCAGAGAGACCATCTAAGGACAAAAGGAATGCTCAGTGTCCATGCCCCAGCCAATCTCTGGCCTTGGCACTGAGGCCACAACAAGAGGGCTAATTACTGTCAGCTGGATTGGTGGAAATTGGACTGAAATCTGTCAAAGGCAATGACTTTTGGCCACTGCTGATGGGAGCTGGATTTGATCGACTGACCCAGGATGAGACGCCACATTCCTTTCCCCAGCTCTTTCAGCCATCCAGTTCTCCATGTTGCCAATGACTTGGCTCCACCACCCAATACTAAAAGAGCTCGCTTCTCTAAGGGAGAAGAAGGGTTCAGCTCCAAATGCCCAGGGTGTGAAAACTTTCCTAACTGCTTTAAGTGGCCTGTTTTATTGTTCCTTTGTGTGGGGGGGGGGAGGGAGGAGGGGCAGGAGAGAGGAGGGAGTTAATGGTAATTTTTAGGCTGTTCCAGTATTTGCAGCAATGAAAACAGCAAGTAGGCCACAGCCCTTTACGTGGCATGTTCTAAGCGTGGGACACCCCTGCACCTAGGGTGTGTTTGGTCCAAGGGCTTTCTCACATTACCGCCACACCCTGTAGTGTCACAGGGTTGATATCAAATGTTTCCATGCAAAGAAAGAAAAAAGGGGAGGGGGAGATGGATTCTCTTCATCTATTGTCCTGCCAATCAGGAGAGCCCATGCCCCAATGTTAACCCGGCCCAATGCTGTCAGCACCAATCAGCTTTTCTCCCGTGACGGTTATTTCTTTATTGAAATCATCTATGTCCCACCCATTTCTGCCTTACAAATTATGCTCAAGGTCATTTGGCTTGAAGTGCTGCACATTGGCGAGAATCTTACGACGACTTCGGAAGGGTCCTAAGGGTAACATGCTAGGTGCTTCTCCCAGAATCCGTACCAAGATGCATCCCACCCCTAGGAGAGGGCAGATAGAGACAGCCAACTTTGGGAGGATGGGGAGGAAAGGTGAACAAAAACGTAAAGAGGTTAAAGAAGAAAAGAAGTCTGGCAAGGTTACATGTTGCCGTCATATTCCATGAAATTAACTTTCTGTGCTAGTGGGCAGCCAAGACTGTAACCACAGATTTGCTTTAATCACTGGACAGCTCCCGGGAGAGGTTGGACCCAGATTCCCACCCCTGTAATCTGTAGCATCTGATGAAAACAATTTGGACTGAATTAATCTGGGGCTAATAGGCAAAGGCTGCAGTTCTGTCTCCCCGTGTGCTGCCAAAGTACGACATATTTACTGCCTGCTCAGACTAATGGTGTTCAAAGAGAAGACGGGGAAAAAGGAAAAACAAGTTTACCCTTCCCTACAAAGGGTGGATAAACTGGATAAAATATATAAAACTAAGTCTGAATAGTGCATTCCCTTGAATGGGTGGCCTGCTGAAATGCAGCACAGACCCAATATCTGCAACCCCCTTGAGAACTAAGACTGATTGCTAGTTATGCACATTTCATCAAAATCGCCATTCACTCTGAGAACAGTTCTGTTTGTACAACCAAACAAGTATGGGTTTGTACCAGACATATCTGTCAGTTGTTACTTTGAGATACATAAGAATCAGTTTTCTTTCTTTTATTACTCCTGGGAGCTTTACACCATTCTCCAGGCATTATATATCAGGTATATTTAGGGGCTGAGACTTCTAGGTTGCAGGTTCTAATCTAGCCTAAGGTTGATAGAGATGAAAACCAATTTCAGTTACTAATGGCTATTAGGTGATCTAGGTGAAATGAACTAGGGTGTCAGTCAATTTCCTAGTGGACAAGCCTCTGCATCTCTAGAGCCCTGCGCGAACACAAAATTTGTATCTGCATCTGGTCCACAAAAATGGTTCGTGGATGTCCACAGATCTGCAGGGCTTTAGAAACAAAATCTGTATCTGCATCTGATCCGCAAAACTGGTCTGCGGATATCCGCAAATTTCAGGGCTCTACCCATCACATAAACCACTATCGTAATTGGTACTAACTGGCCCAATTGCTGGGAACCTCAGTAGAATCCAAGGACTGAATGACCAATGGAGGCTGTCCCCCTCCATGGCAGGGTTGAGGAACATTGGTAAGGAGGCCTGATGGAAGCTTGACCTACCACTGCCTGCAGTGCCATTTTTGGTTGATTAAGAATCTGTTTATCTGACACCAAAACTAAAATCACTTATTTTACCACTGCCTCAGGCTCCACTATCAGAGATGTTAGAGAAGTAGTAGTCCTGAGGTCATCTCTTCCACCCCCCACCCCCAGGGGCTAATGCAAGACTTCCTTGTATTATAGTGCTTTATCCAGTCCAATTGTGTGTGCCCCCAGCGATGGGGCTCACATGCTTTCCTTTGGTTTACAGCTGAGTGGTATCTCATAGATTCCTAAACTGTAAGGCCAGAAGGGACCGTCAGGATCATCTAGTCTGACCTCCTGCACACTGCAGGCCACAGAACCTCACCCACCCACTCCTATAACAGACCCCTAACCTCTGGCTGAATTACTGACATCCTCAAATCATGATTTAAAGCAGTGGTCTCCAAAGTAGGGTGCACAAGAGGATCCTTGGGGGTGTGCGGCAGGAGGAGCGCTTTTTTCTTTTCTTTGTCCGAGCGGCAAAAATGGTAGAGCCAGCGCGGCAGGGGGTGCGTGCTCAAAAATTTTTTACTCATAGGGGTGCGTGATCAAAAAAGTTTGGAGACCACTGATTTAAAGACTTCAAGTAACAGAAGCCACAAGACTTCCCTGAAATAATTCCTGTTTGAACTAGAATCTCTCTTTAAAAAAAAACAAACTTCCAGTATTGATTTCAAAATTTCCAGTGATGGAAAATCCACCAGAACCTTTGGTAAGTCATTCCAATGGCTAACTACCCTTACTGTTAAAAAATTCAAATTCTTTATTTCTCAAGCACTCACTACTGCTGTGGCTCGGAAGCATAACTGAGATTTTTCTGGGGGCAAAAGAAGCATTTATTCCATCCAAACACTTCAAAATTTGAAAAACCATGACTGATACAAAGTCTAGACATATAAGAGACATACTGAAACAGAGACTATTTACAATAGAACTCAAGTTACTCTTCACAACTCCAGTCAGTCCCACTGGAGCAAGGCACGCCTCTAGCTGTGGATTTGTCATGATCCGCTACTGCTCTGATTTACCAATCCACACCATCCCCCTTATCTCTTTCTCCAGCCTCTCCTTTGATTTGCAGCAAGAGAACTGGTTATATAACCCAAGACTCACATTCAAAAGCCAAAACAACTAACGTGATGGCCTACATTCCCAGCCTGCTTCCTGAGACCAAGAATGCAAACTTTCACACAATGGCTCCTGAGATTCCAGCCACGCTTCTTAAAACAAGGTGAGCTCCCTGGTGTTCAGTTTTCACCTCCCTCCAGAAGATCAGTATCTAAGGACCAAACTGAATGCTAGTATAGGGCAAATTGCCTAGCCCAACTGCAAGCACATTGACCAGCCTAGCTGAATTACAGCCCTAATCTTAAAAGAGGATCATACCTTTCATCCAGTGATGGGACCTACAGCGAACTCTGATATTAGAACTGTACTCTCGGGCTCTAAAGCCAAAAACAGCACAACAGACTTATCTACAACTACCTCTGTGCTTCCAAGTAGCCCTTTTTATCCCCACAAGTGGCAGAACCTCCTACCACAGAGAGCACTAGAAAGTGATTCCTAATATTCATCTTGAATTTCCCTCTGCGTAATGAGGTCTCACTGCTCCTTGTTCTACCCTTTGCTGACAATACATATGTTTGTCCCCCTCCCTTGGTGATCAAAGTGTTTTGGATTACTACCTACCCAGACTTGGGTTAGAGTGCGGGTGCTGGGGGCCTGTGCTATACAGGAGATGAAACCAGATAATCCTTGTGGTCTCTTCTGGTCTTAAACGCTAAAACCCCATTTTATTTGCTGCATTTGATAGGCTGAATCTTTGTTATTTCCTGGCTCTCTTTGCAATACCCACAGACTACAGTGTTGAGCACATTAGAAGTCTATTGATTTTTAATTTCTCTAGGCTCTTAAACTTTGATCCATGAAACATTTGCTGGTGATCTGATGAAAGCTAGTTGGTGCTGGCTCATTTCCAGTTGCTCAGCGTCACATAAAAAAATTAAAACCACATTACATTCTTTCCTAACCTTACTTTTCTGTGTAGGCAACTGCTGTAGTTATATAGTCTGCAATAATGAACTGGAGAAGTGTTCCTTCAAGACAATCTTCGCATTAAAGTGTGGGCAGCACTATGAAGTAGACAAGTTCATGGAGGATAGGTCTATCCATGGCTATTAGCCAGGATGGGCAGGGATGGTGTCCCTAGCCTCTATTTACCAGAAGCTGGGAATGGATGACAGGGGATGGATGACTTGATGATTACCTGTTCTGTTCATTCCCTCTGGGGCACCTGGCATTGGCCACTGTCGGAAGACAGGACACTGGGCTAAATGGACCTTTGGTCTGACCCAGTATGGCCGCTCTTATGTTTTTATGAAAAAATCTGATCCCCCAGGATGGATAGTATTTTTCTATCCTCCGTGTTTGCAACTCCTCCCAATTTAGTATCATCTGCAAATTTATCATTCTATTTCCTGATTCTTCTAGATAATTACAAAGACCAGACCAACCATTGGACATTTCCCGGAATCATTTCTTATTGCACTCTGCTCATAGTGTGTTAAATCCATTGATAATGCTCCCATCCTAGCCAATTTAATTTCTACAATATTTCACTAGACACTATCGAATATTTTATTGAAGTTTAAATCTCCCACTTACTGTGTCACCTGTGTGGAATAAGTTTTTGTTCAGCATGATTCTTCATAACCCCTCAACACTACTTGTTGTTCCTAAGTTCCATTATCCGGTGAGTGCTCAGTGTGGTTCTCCCCTTTTGTTTGTTATGTAACTAGGAATAGAGGTTAGATTTCCCAAAGGGCAATTGCCAAGACCATACTTCCCTTTCTCACATGTTGATCTCATTCACTATTTTCAAATCCTTTTGGTACCTCCCCAGTTTTTTATGCCTTCTCAAAAATAACTGCTAATGGAGCAGTTGGTTTGTTAGCTAATTCCCTCAAGACCCTGGAGGGTTGCATGTGATCTTGACCTGCTGGTGTGTGTATAAGTCAATGTCTCTAAGAATTTCCTTACCTGCTTTTTTGCAATAGCTTATTCACAGGATTGTCATCACTATTCAATTATTTAAACTTCTTTTCCTTATTTTTCTTGTTATGGAAACATGAGAGTAGCTCAGCCATTTTAGAATTATTCTGGCTTTCAAGCCCCTCATCATTAGTGGGCTTACTTTCTCACAAGTATTTATTTTCCTCCAGATGTATTTGTATCTATATCCCCCTAATCCCACTGGCATTAACTTATTCTGCATTTTTGGTTGCCTTATCTTGTAACTGTGCATTCTTGTCTGGTTCCCTTCCTTTCTATTTCTAGTATAGATTGTTTTGTTTGGTTGGTGGGGGGGGGGTTGGCTTTATTTTTTAAATGCAGTTTTTGAAAAGCCCCTAGTAATACTACGTTCTCCTAGCTTATTTCCCATATTATGGGTTTTTAAAGGCACTTTTGGGCCTTTATTATAGGATTCTCTACTGCCTTCCCCCAGTGTATTTTAAAAATTCCTCTCTAACCCTCTCACACTAGATTTCCCCCCAAAATACTTGCTGGAAATCCATTTCCTTTTACTGACAGGAAAGGAGTTTCAAACACAGAAAGGCTCTTTTTGCGGACACTTCCATATCCAGGCACAACTTTGTGTAAAACAGTCATTGAGCATCTGTAATGTTTCTAAACACCTTCCCCTGTCCCCTTCCCATTCTCCACCATCCAGTTATAAAGATAACTGATAGCAATGAGAAGCTTGCAGTGTTTGGAGACATTACATCTAATTCCTCTTTGGGAACAATGACTCAAGCTTTCTGAGCTACCTGGAGTCAAGAATAGGCTTGAACAAGCCGACTAGCAGCGGGTTTACTACCTAGAGTCCAGCTGGAGGACTGATTCAATGTTGGATACTGGGGCTCATTAGAAAGATAAATCCATTCCAGATCATATGATGGGTGGCAAGGGATGCACATGTTTCCAAAGTTCTAACATGTCTATCTCTTCCTTCCTGCTGCACGCAAACTACTCCAGACCAGATATGAAGGATCCAAAGGAGGGCTGTATGGTAGGCAATGTTCCCTAAACTGTGCACATGCACGGTCAACAGCAATCTTCCAAGTATCACACATCACAAACCAGGCTACTTACAACTTTGACTCTGCCTCCCCACCATCCAGCTCCAGTTACTGCCTCCCATTGGCTGACTGTTTAAGAGCTGAGAGCCAATAAGGTTCTGGGCAAGGCACCCAGGCAGCAGGCAGGGCACACCTCCACCAATGGGGAAGAAGTAACCAGAGCTGAGTGGTGTGCCACGGAGCTAGAGGCTGTGTCAGTGGGAATGGAATACAGCCTGTGACTGGGCTCTGGAGCCCATGCGCCAGGACACACCAAGAACTGGCACAACACCGCTCTGTCACTCACAGAGGGCAATGCCCTATGCCACCTGTCTCTGCTTACTGGCTTCACATTGGCTGTGGGAACTTGGAGCTTTTCTGATTGTGGCCAGCCTTGCGCCCGCCTCTCCCCCCGGCCCACAGGTCAGGTCACACCTCTGCCAATAGGGAAACAGTTACCAGAGCTGGGTGGTGTAATGGTTGAGCCCCTTCCCTGCTGACATGGAGGAGCAGCCTGCCAAATTCGAATGGCGTTGCGACCCAATGCACAGGGTCCAGCTGCTCCCAGTCTCTGCCTCCACTCTGTTCCCCCATGTATGCAGGCTCCACCACGTGAGGCTCTGGGGAGTTTGTAAACTGCTCAGTACCAGGAAAATTTAGAGGACACATTGGTAATAGGACAGTAGTTGGCACAAGACTAGCCAGCTGTGCTTAGATGCTGTACATCTAGGCCAGTCGTGGCTTTGTAGGAACTGCTCTTGCACAAGGGGGTTTTCACTAAACCTTAAGGAGGGGGAGATGGAGTGGTGAGTCTTTATTCTGCCCAGGAAGCTAAAAGAATGGCAGGCTGTGCAGTTAAGTAGCAGCATGAGTACAGCTTTGAGAATAACATTCAACTAGCTAACTGTCACCACACTTACCTCATAATTGTATTTGTGCTTCAGGTTCCAGCGACAAATGGGACACTGACCAGAAGGGTTAGGAGGAGTTGGGGTTTTGACATCTTCTATAATTTTGCCCTCAATCTGGGAAACAATCAGAGGATACATTGATCAGATGAAGAGCCCATAGTTCAGGCCTACATATACATTCGGGGTATGTAGGCTTATCGCTCAAGTTCCAACAGCTTACTCAGCACTGTATAAACATAAGAGAGTCCCTGTACTAAGCTGTTTAGTCAGGTACATACAGAACAAGCATTTCAGATGTACATAGGAACTGGCACAAGTCCAAAGAGTCATTAGGGCCTGGTAAGTCTTGATCACTGGATTTGTGTTGAGTAGTGGAGAGCTCAATTAATTCGAATCCCTCCTATTTTGCAGACGTTTCATATTACTTTGTAGGTAAAAATCTAGAGAATTCAGACTGAGCTGTCTGCTTCTGTGAGTGCAAGGTAGTAGTGATGGGGACAAATCCTTGGTGTTCTCTGTTTGAGTTTGGGCTGATGTCACCCAGTGAGGTACTAGCTATTGGGAATATTTCATGCCAGAGCCTGTGTTTTGGACCCATGCCCTTCTTGCCCGGTGAAGTACTGTTAAACCACTGTGGGCAGAATCTCTTAGAACATACAACTTTTATTAAGGAAGCTGTTGTACAGCTTGATATTAACAATCTAGCCAAACATAGGCCAGCATCTAGTATTCTGTTCTTTGTCAGTCTGGGTGTAGACCTGGTGACATTAAACACTGCACTGGCTCCTTTGATAAATTATTCCATCCTGGTAATAGATCAAGATCTAGCATCCATGTCGATTTATTACATCTATCAGCTGCCTTTGATACTGTTGACCACGGGGAGTTGTTGACTTGTCTGTGAACCCTAGAAAAAGAGCCACATGCCCTTCAGTGGCTTCAGTCTCATCTCTTGGGAGAAATTTCAGAATGTATTTTTTGGCTCCTCTTCACCTGATTACTCTGATGTAGGTTTCTGTGTCGTCACACCATGTGTTCATTGTGCGTACTGGGTCTGTAGAAGGGCTAATGAGGAGGCATATGAGTTTATGTTTTCGCGGGCTGATGAGACCCAGCACACACTCATCCATACACGGTAAATACCTTTCTCAATGTTTGATAAAGATCAGAATACAATAAAGGCTAGCTGTCTGAGGCGGAATCCAGAAGAGACTGAAGTGATGTTGGTAGGATGGGTGGAGCAATCAGAAGATATGAGGAGGACTATGTCTGCCCCTTAATTGATGCTGCATGCCCACCATTTGTTGAGAGTTTCCTCTCTGTGGATATTGATGGATCTCCAGGTGCTGTTAAGAGATTATGTAGCAGAAATTATCAGCATCTCTTTCCCCCCCCACCATCTACATCTGGCCAGGAGTTTGTGACCATTTCTTTCATATAAGGATCTTGCTACTGCGATTTACACTTTTGTTACCTCAAGTCTAGTTTATTGAGAAGTGCTCTGGATGGAGCTTGGAAGTTGAAGACTATGCAAATTTCAGTAATCCACTTACATGAAAGTCCCTTGTTTTTGAATGGAGACTCTTTTAGTAGGGGCGTTCTCCCTGAGGGGGTCCCATTTATAATTCATTTCTCCATTTGGGCTGAAATAGCATCAATCCTTTGACCTTCTGGGCATAGTGCTAGTTCATCTTTTTCTCCAGATTTTTGCAGAAAGGCATGCTGGTGCACATGGACTTCAGGGTAGGAAAGAGAGAGACTGTCATCCATCCCCCAATTCCCATAGCTGCTGATTGGTTTTACTCTTGTTGGTACAAATATGTTAAAAATACAATCAATTTCATATCAAGGACACTGAGAGACCTTTTATGTTATATAATGAAACAAATCTAAAATAAATATAAACACTCCAACTCAGTAAGGTGCTCAGATTTCAGTCAATAAATGATATCTAATGTAAAAATAACCAGAAAAAAAAACCCCAAACTTTTTAGGGAATACACTTTTTGGTAAGTGCTGTCTTGCCAAATCTTGTCTACACATCACTAGCAAGCAAAGAAAGGACGATTGTAGGCCACTTTTGATTTCATCCAGTCACTCCTACTTATACCTGCTGGTAATATAACAAATCACTCTCCTTTTTGGTGTTTGCCTTCTTCCAGATCTAGACAATGGACAGGATCTCAAGTCCACTGAGGGTCCCAATGCTTAGGGAAGTTCTGGAAGGACTTTGGCCAGCTAAGACCCCATAAGCCTGTGGTGTTCTTCTGAGAAAAGGGTGTTATGAACTTGAAAGCAAAGGAAAACTCCTGTGTGGGGTCTGAAGGACTGCTCACCTGCCAGAGTTCATTTTGGAGTAGGATTATTTCTGATAAGCTTAATAATATGCATGTAGGTTCTTCTATGGTTTTTAATGTTTTTGCTGTGTTGCTTTTACCTTAAGAATAAAATGTGCTTGCTTAGAAAGAGCTGTGTAGTATATTAAACTGTGGTAATTACACAGTTAACCTTCTTTGAAGAGAATGCAAAAAAAAAAGAGGGTCTTCTGTTGGGGATATCAGAGTTTAAACTGCTCATCTTAGAAATACCCCAGTCAGAAGGGAGAGAGATGAATGCCTCCACTCAAGAGAAGAGGCTGGGGAACCAGAAGCCAAGAGTGCTCCCCTTGCTGAGAGGACTACAGGTGCTGAGTTGTTATGTAGACTTTAGTCCATACCATCTGTCCCTCATTTTCAAAAGCACTGAATATGAAGGATTCCAACCCCCTTCCATCTACCAACCGCGCCCCCCCTGCAGCCAGGACTTTCAATGTTAGCAATCGCATTGCTGGATCATAACATGGGAACTTTTGCAGCTACATTTGATTCTGACCATCAGAGCTTAGGATCTCATGCTGCTTTCATCCATGGGAGAGAGGAAGACCCAGAAGTTTAACAACCCAACTATGCACCTGGGTTGCCTGAATTCATAACACACAGTTACATTTGCATTGCATTCAAGCCACAGAACATTTACTAAGAGTGAACTGCAGTAAGCAGAAAGAAAACATGTACTGTATGTCCCACCTCCAGACAAAATAAGCCAATGTGACCAAAAAAAACCTCCCAACAACTTCATCCCTGAAGTTGCTAAAGAAAATGTATTTCTCCCCATACCAAAAAAACCCCAAACAAACAAAAATGTGGCTTTAGAAGTAGTGTGTATTGTGACTTGGAAAAAAGAAATAACTTACAACAGTTGTACTTCCTTCTGTAACTTCAAAAACTGCAGAAATAAAAGATGGAAAACAAGGTCAGACATATTCAAACTGGAACTAGTGACTTTCTTTTAATCAATAAACTGAAATTATGTACAAACAAAATACGTGGTGGACAGAAGTCAGGGATGCAAGAGAAGAGAGCGACTCCCCAACAAAGCAAACACGAGGTATGAAGACTGCCAAAGGTAATGCTTTACTGGTGGGCAGTTGCATGCAGAGTAACCATAGGAGACCAATAGGCAGAGCAAAGGGCAGGCCTTTCAAACTGGGGACCTCATCGCTTAATTGTTATTGTTTTGAGTAGATCTGTGGTGTGTTCAAAAGTTTTATGATTTCTCTATCATCTCTGGCTAATTCTGATCAAGGAAGTCAAGAGACCCTCTTAAGTAAAAGCAATCTTAAATGTCAAGCATTTAGGCTGCCTCCAGTGTTTTTAGTTCCTCCATGGTTAAAGCCTGTGTAGAGAGGAAAGAAACTTCCTTGCCCTTCTGGTTGTGACAATCTTCAGGCAGAGAACAAACACGCTGCTTTGAATCTGTGAAACTAAAAGAGCAGAACTGGGATTCTGGAAGTTTCATAGATTCATAGATTCTCCTAGTCACAGCAATGGGAAATTAAACCTGAACCGTAATTATTGCAACTTTAACGACAACACAATTATTTCTATTTGTTTTAGATTACTTATATGCCCCTTATCATTGCAGTAACTCAGTGGACAATCATTAATGGAGTGTATCTGCACCCCACCCTTTTGAGGAAGGGAAGCATTATCCCTATTACACATCTGGGGAACCAAGGCAGATAATGTGACTTGTCCAAAGCCACATAGGAAGCGTATGTCTAAACAAGCACCTGAGATCAGGTCTCTTGAATCCCTATGGCTAGCCCCACCCCTCGCTGCTCGCTCACAAGCCGACCTTTGCCACGCAGTTGGGAGGGGAACAGTGCCCCACAAGTGCCAATCACAGCCCCGGGCCGGCCAGCCGATGTGGCTGATGGGCGCCGCCTGGTTCTGGGCCCAGCCACAGGGGTAGATTTTACCCTGACAGCCAGGAGCCTGCGGCCCTTCCCCGCCCCCCTCGCTCTGACCAGGGCCGGCCGCGGAGCGCTGGCTCCCCCCGGCTCGCGTCTTCCAACAGGGGCGCAACGCCCGCCCCCAAGACTCACCCTGTCGGAGCGCGCGGGCCGGAGGCCGGGCCCAGCCGGCCCCCAGCCCCAGGAGACCAGAAACCAGCCGGTTCCAGCCACCGCGCAGCAAGCCGGGGGCTGCCATCTTGGGAATCGGCCCTGACCCCCCCCCCCGCGCTACTTCCGCTTCCGGGGCGCTCGGGCCGGCAGGCGGGAAGAGGCCGGGCAGCAGCCTGCGACGCCGCCATCTTGGAGCGAGGCCCAGGCGCGGGGACAGTCCCCAGCCTCCACGGGAGGGACGGGCTCAGAGCCGCTGCTCTCGTTTGGGAAGCTTGGAGCCAGGGGCGCATCCCGGCCGCGGGGGCCGCAGCACCATCAGCCCTGGCAGCTCTCGCCGGGGCCAGCAGAGGCCGCGGGGCAGCTGGAGGGAGGAGCTGGGTCTCCAACGCCTTACACCCGCCCAGCTCTGCGCGAGGGCTGCCCCAGGCTGCTTGTGCCCAGGCCCCGCCCTTGGAAGTAGCAGTCGGGGACCGCCTGGGGCTCAGGATCAGCCTGCCTGGCCTGGTTTTCATACCTCGGAGGTGGAGCCCTCGGCTGCCAGAGGGAGGCCAGGCTGCAGTTAGAGCAATGGTGAAGTTCTCTGGGGCTTGGACCTCCTCTTTAGACTGCCCCTCTTGGACCCCCTCTTAGCACAGTTGAGCCCTGATGCTTGATTGCGGCTCCCTAGGTAACTATGATAATATAATAATAAATAGAGCCTTTTCTTATACCTATCTCAGCATTTCTTCATCAGCCCCAAAGTATAGAGACATAGAAATGTAGGACTGGCAGGGACCTCAGTAGGTCATCTAGTCCAGTCTCCTGTACTCTGGGCAGGATTAAGTAAACCTAGACAATCCCTGACAGGTGTTTGTCTAACTGTTCTTAAAAACCTGCAATGATGGAGATGCCACAACCTCCCTAGGCAATTTATTCCTATGCTACACTGGCAGTTAAGTTTTTCCTAATGTCCACCGTAAACCTCCCTTGCTGCAATTTGTGCCCATTACTTAATTTGTCACCCTTCTCTTTGTAATGACTTTTTATGTACTTGAAAACTGTTATGTCCCCCCCTTTCTCTCAAGACTAAACAAACCCAATTTTTTCAGTCTTATAGTTTGTTTTCTAGACTTTTGTCATTTTTGTTGCTTTCTTCTGGATTTTGTCATGTTTTATTAGGAAAAATCCATGGAACAGTCATGGTAAAAATGTACAAAATCAGGATGTGGTCATGTGGGGGCCAAAGTCCAAGCCCTGCTTCAGGAGGGCTGAAGCTGGAGCCGAAGAAGTTGCAGCCATCTGTTAAACTCACGGATTCCGTGACCTCCATGACCAAATCATATTCTTACTGATGATATAGGAGATATAACATGGATCATGGGACTTTATGATAAACAATTCTGAGGCCCTTACTACCTTAGATACTAGGCTGATCAACACCTTTCATTTTCAGTATCTGTGATGCCTCTTCCGGAGTAGTTTTCTTAAGGATTGATGGCTAAGGGGTACTACATCTTCTCTTGGGGAGCAATAAGTTCACTTACAGGCTTTCCCACAGACTTAACTGGCTTTCTTATGGCTGTTTTAGCAGCATGAAAATTCATTGGGAGCAATGTCCTCTTAAAACTGAAGGAATGAGCAAACACTACTTAAAAATCCAGCCATTCGGATGACTTGAGGGTCAGGAGTCCATGAGCACATGCAGGATATCCTGTTGATGTTTCTAGCTAAACTGCAACTCTGTGTTCTTATTACTGCCTCCCCACCCCTATTTGTTACACTTACTTGTTGCACCTTATCTTAAATTGGATTGTAAACTTTTTGGGGCAGGGGAACCATATCTTATATTATTTTATACAGTGCCTAGCACAACAGGGCACTAAGCCTGATTAGGGTGTTTGGTGGTACCAGAACACTAATAATCATCCCGTTGGCTTGTGGAACAGGAGAGCAGACCAGGAACTGAATGCAAGGCTCTCCCATGGTGATGCAGAACATTAGCTAAGGGCTAGTCTACACTAGAAGTGCCCTATGCCAACAGGAGAGAGCTCGCCCACTGACACCGGCGCTTCGGCTGGTGTAACTTACATCACTCAGGGAGGTGACTCATTCATACGCCTGAGTGACATAAGTTATACCGACATAAGTGGTATTGTGTACAAGTCCTGAAGGATCTTCCCAGAGAATAAGAAACTAAGGTAGTGATTGATTCCAGGTCTCTTGTGTTATATACAAAATGGACCAGAGAGAACACTAGCCGCAGAAGACTCCCTCCACACTACTTCCCCTACCTCTGATAAACTTTCCCAGTATACCTCAGGATACCAGACATATGCTCCATGGCCACACCACAGCAGTTAACCATCTGAAACCATGGAAAAGCTTAATGGAACCGCTTAAAAAAAATCCATGATGGCTGCATGACTGGAAATGTGGCCCAGACAGCTTAAAATACTTCACAAGGATGTCAAAATGCACATTGACATTGCTGAATGCCTTCCCATGGGTGCAGAGAAGGATTAGTCAACCTGGAGATGTTTAAATTACTTCCAAACAAGAGCTGGTGGGTCAATAGTCAATATGCGGAAGTGAGGCTATTCCAACAGTTCAGACACACGTGGCTGCAGTGAAACACAAACCATGGAACATCTGTTGGTCTGCCAGATCCTGGAGGAACTATGCACCGTGGAATATCTTGCCAGTGCTACAGATGGGGCACGTGTGCCCAGCACTGGGGAAAAAAAGCTATGATTGTGTTGGAAGGACATGAGAAGAACAATATACCTCTACCTTGGGAGGCCTCTTCCAAGTATTCCCCTTGTGCATCCTCCCTTTTTAATATGATTCTTAGAGCCCTTGTTAATTAGCATAAGGCTTTTAAATTGTTCCCTCTTGCTTTGTTATGTAATATGGCCATCTCTAGAAGCAGGATGGTCTTTAACTTCTCTAAGCTTATACCTAACAGCTATAAGAGACATTTACTGATTTCCAGTCCAGGGATATTTTCAGCAGTATTGGACACAGTGATGTTACACTTTTATGGGGGTTTTCTTACTTTTTCCTTTATAAGGTGAGCTTTATTAAGGAGCTTAGCTGCAGGAATCTGATTGGTTATTGAATAAATTCTCAATTAAATCAAATATATTCAACTTTCCTTCTCCTAACTGGCTTGCCACAGGGGGAAGAGAAGGCAGACTGTGTTTCAAAGGGGATGGAGACCAACAGTTGGAGGTACAACATTGGTCCACAAATAATGAAGACGAGGCAAATAAGGCTTTTCAAGAGCTTCACAGTATCTTTTGACCTGGGGTAAGGATGTTAGTGCAGCACTATGGAGAAGTCCTACAGAATGAGACTAATATGGTGGTGCAGATACAGTACTTAATTTGTTCTCCTTGACCTTCCACCCAACTCCATCTTTCTAGAGAAATTTAACTGTCACATAATTTAATGCAGGAAAGAAGATTTTCTGTCTTTATAACAAAGAGAAGTCTTTGGGCAGTCTGACTGTTTTCTTTCGCTTACTTTATATCATCAGAGAGCATTTTTGACAATAACTGTTAACAGTGTAGATCATACAGTCCCAAGGATACAAACAAAGTGCCTGCCAATTTGGGTAGAAGCCCATCCTATCTCTCTGAGTTTGGAAATTTGACATATTTCTGATTTCTCACAATTAATTTTGAATTTGGAGCAGTTACCATGTTTGTTTCTTTCATCAAGCCCTGGTACTCAGGGGAAAAGAGAAATAATGTTGGATATTGTCTGTGTGTCACAAAAGGAGAAATGAAAGAAGTTCTCCCAACAGACTTCTCTTAAAGCCAACAGCCATATAGTCTTGGGCTGTGACCTTGTCAGCACTAAGTAGAGTCAGGTCTGATTAGTACTTGGATGAGAGACCTCCAAGGAAAATCTAGGATGTTGCAAGTGATGCTGGTAGGGGATGCCCCTCTTTCTTTCTTAAAACTGAACCATTATACTATTGTGTTTGGTTGGGTAAGGCGGGGCAGAGGCAGAGAGGTGACATTTTTTTGTATGAGACATAAAACCAAGTTCCTGACTTTTTGTAATCATTAAAGATTTCATCACACTTTCTCAAGGAAAGGGTGTTCCTCTTCGTATTCTACTTCGTGGTGAAAATATTATCTTTTGCAGAAGTAAAATATTATGTGAGGCTTTGTGTTCCCTTTTTTATTGGCTTCTGTTCCATTCTTTGTTCTCATCTGAGGTATTTAATCTATTGTATTTTTTGTGTTGATTGTACTATATTACTGCTTTGTGTTTCCAGTAATGGAGAAGCTGTTCTGGTCCCCTGGACTGCCAGTGCTAATGGATGGCATGTGTCTCCCCTGCAGCAATACCGCCATGTAAATGGCAGGACCTATTCCTAGGAAGGTTGAAGCACTTCCAACTAACCCTGATCAAAGAATCATAGAAGTTAAGATAGAAAATCTTATAAGACCATCTAGTTTCCCACACACAACTCTAGTCAGCACAGGTTTGTTTCCTATGGGACATTTTCTGTTATTTTCCATAAGAGGTCACTGCAGGTCAGTATTCAGAGTTGTATCCAGAAAGCTCCTGCGAAAGTCAGGAAACCTTCAGAACTCAGCAACAAATTGGTTGCAAAATACTACTGTCAAGAATTACAAGTATTGTAGCTGTGTTGGTCCCATGCTGTTAGAGAGGTCAGAACCCGAAGAAGAGCTCTGTCTCTCGGACCAACAAAAGTTGGTCCAATAAAAAGTATTAACTCACCCATCTTGTGTCGCTGCTGTCAAGAATGTTTATCATGACTAATAATTTGATGCTGCAGTGTGGGATGCTGAAGGGCAGAAGAAATGTGATTAAGTTTGACAGCTGATTTTCCGGGTTTTAAAAGTAGGAAATTCAGTTTCCATTGAAGTGATATGTTAACAAAATACAAGTTTCTTATGACTACTAATACCATGGTCCCTAAAGAGTGACTGTGATAGGATTGCTTCTGGGCTCACAACAAACCACTGTTAGTCCACAGCCAGGTACACAAGACAACAGGTTTTTATTTGGTTGTCACCCCCTTCAGGCAGGACACTACGTGAAACGGTTTCACTCAGAAAAACAAGCAAGTCACTATAGGAAATCAAAAAACTAGTCCCATGTCAGGCTTACCTTCCCTCGGGGAGGCTGTGGCAGACAGCAATCTCTAGTCATTTTGTGGCCTCAGCTAGACTTTATTCTCTCAGAGTGAAGTCTGCTCTCTCACCCAGCTGAGTCGGGCTCTCCCCTTTTAACCTCTCTCTCCAAGCCTGAGACCTGTTGCAGATATAGCAGTGTGGGACTAATTGACCCATAGCAGCTTGTTAACCCTTTCCTGGTCAGTGTGGGGTTAGAATACCTCATCATGGGGTTTGTATACCTTATCTTACATTTTCCACCTCAAGACAGTATTAGCAGATGTCAGCTCCCCAGGGACAAAAAGTAGCTTTTCTGGTGTGTCTTCCCTGTTCTATATTGTACTTTGAATGAGTATGGCTGGAGGGTTAGGTACCACTACATTATTCGGAGGTTCGTATCTAATGGCGTTCAGCCGTCGCAGAGAGTGTGGTCAGGGTGAATAGGTTTCCGAGGAAGTAATAGCAGCCACAGAGAATATCAAACCAGCTACTGTCTATGATTAGAAATCAGTATCTACATTTACAGAAAGTGCATTGTGTTTATCTTTTAAAGTTATTTTTAAGGCACTTACATGCTTCAGATCAGTGTCAATCCAACCACTGCAAGGAGTCTTGGGAAAGAGTGAAAAAACAGCAATGGATATTATGCACTGTTTTATTTCCTGTCTCTAGGACATCCATAGAAGGGGATGAGCTAATGTCACTCAGACCTAGATCCACAAAGGAATTTAGGGTCCTAACTTCCATTGAAATCAATGCAAGTTAGAAACCCAAATACCTTTGAGGCTCTGGCCCTTAGTAACTATCAGTTATTTACTGTTCATCAGAAGTGCAGCTCACCAAATAGCCCAACCATCCAGAGCCGGAGTTCAGAAGCCCTTCTGAGCATTGTACAGTAACCCTGATCTGTTAGGACCCATGGGTTACTCAGAAGCTCATCTCACCTATACCTCATCACTCATATCTCATCTCACCTCAGGTACAGTTAGCAGGACGCGTCTTAGTAGGTGAGGCTGGTCTACTCAATAAACTGACAACCTCCCTAAATGTCCAGATTTGTGCACAACTGGCAAGTAACTTGCCTTTCATGAAATGGAGCTGAGGAGAAGGTTTCTGAGACAGAAATAAGGACGTTGTGGGGGAAAGAAAAGGTGAAGGAAGGGAGAAAGACAAGGAGGGAGAGAGTAGGGGAAAGGGAGTAGAAGGCGGCACTGTGATAGGAAACTGAACCACTCACTTGAAAACAACTTGTTTATACTTCCAAAGTTTCCTGTTTTTCCCAGGAGATATGGTTATTTTTCAAACTAAAACAACAAAGTAATAATTTAATTACATTTCCTTCCAAGATTTCAGGCAAAGTGTAAACAAGTAAAATCCAGAGGGGAAATCAATCCAACTTCTTTTTGCAATAGGACTTGAGCCTCATAGGTTTTTTTCCTACTATATATTCCAGTTGCTACTGTCCATAACCTTGCTATCTGTGGCACTGCTGTCACCAGCTGAAATGCCTCAGATAAATATTTCTCAGGTGGATTTTTTTTAAATTGCTCTGTATACATCATGGCTTTTGACATTTTGCATATGGGCAAGTGGATGTGACAGTTACAGTTGAACCACTTACACTGAGAATCTTGTTCTGCCAAGGTAAAATCTATGGCTTGTCTACAAAGGGACACTCAGGAAAATTAATCCAAATTAACTTTTAAAGTAGATTAGTTAAACCATATTAAATCAATGTGTGGTCACTATTATTCAGAATTAAAGTGGCTTTACTTTGGTTTAGTTTAATTCACTTTGGAGGTGAATGAAGATAAATAGAATTAAGGGCACTTTATTTCTGAATGATGGTTTTCACACACAGGTTTAATGCATTTTAGCTAATCTTCAAATTCATATCTTTAGTTAATTCATATTAATTTTCCTGGATGTCCCTTTGTAGACAAGCCCCTGGCTGCATGGGAGGATCATAGAGAACAGAAACTCAGCAACAACACTATGGCAACCAACTAAGGAACTCCCAGCAGGATCTTTAATATCACCAGAGTTGATGAATTTTCTCCCTTCCCCAACCTAGGTGAAGAAGGAATTTTAACAAACAAACAATGAAGAAAGTTGTTAATAAAGGCCAGCTCTAGAACAGCAGTTGCTGTACTGTAGTAGGTTCAGCTTTGGTCACTGTTATCAGAGCATAAGCATCATTCATTTGCAATGAAATACAAACATAAAGATTACTTGGGATATAAAACGATGCCTGTGGTATGTGACCTTGTGATTTAAGACATTTCTGTGTCCCTTGCCTTTTTCACCATGACCTGTCTGTGACTCCCTAAAAATGCAATGATAAAGTGCACTTGCTGATGACTATTTCAGGGAAGTTCTGAACAAAAGTGAGGCTGGGATGTGACAAATGTCTAGCTGTACCTCAGCAATGGGGGTGAATAGTTGGGATGAGCTCGGGAAATAAGCAGGAATCCCTCAGTCCTCCACCTGTACTCGTACATCAATGAATTCCTTTTTCGGGATGGATAGAGTCCAATGGGTGTCTTTTACTGTGGAGAGTCTGGGAGGTCTAACACCGGTAGTCTCCCATAATGCTCTTATGCTATTGGCTGGAGTGGATAGACTGTAGATGCTTCTTCTTCTTCTCTCCTGTTATGACTAAAATATAAAATATCTCAGGGTAATGTGAGCAAAGCCAATGATTAGGGCCCAACCAAATTCATGGCCATGAAAAACTCATCACAGACCATTAAATCTGGTCTCCTCCATTAAAGCTGGTCTTTTGTGTACTTTTACCCTATACTATACAGATTTAATGGGGGAGACCAGCGTTTCTCAAACTGGGTGTTCTGACTCAAAAGGGGGTTGTGGGGGAGTCACAAGGTTGTTGTAGGGGAGTCATGGTATTGCAGACCATACTTTTGCACTGCCCTCAGAGTTGAGTGGTCGGAGAGCGGCAGCTGCTGGCCAGGCACCCAGCTCTGACGGCAGTGCCCTGCCAGCAGTAGTGCAGAAGTAAGGGTGGCAATACCATACCGTGCCATCCTTACTTCTGTGCTGTTGCCTTCAGAGTTGGGTGGTTGGAGAGTGGCAGCTGCTGGCCAGGCACCCAGCTCTGAAGGCAGTGCCCTGCCAGCAGTAGTGCAGAAGTAA